CAGTTGACGCCTTGTATTTAAAAATCGATTAATTTCCCAAGCTTCTCCTCGGCTACCATTAAGAGGCTATGAGTTGTACTGATATACAAGAATAAGAGCTTTGCAGGTCTAACTTTTCCTGATTCTGAAGTCTCGGTTCTCGATTTTCAACTGCTCTCCGAATATTTCATATAAATTTCTAAACTTCAATTCCATCAAAACTTTTATTTGCATTTTTAGAAAGAATTTTCTTAATATAGAACCTTTCGTAAGACTAACCATCTTCCTGATCCCGAGAAGTATGAAATAAGACTTTACAGCTATTTAACAATAAAATTATCAGCGTCAGATTTTAATCGAGCGCGAATCAGCTATCACTTATAAAAATCGAGAGAGAATAATCTAAAGGGCTGTGATACTAAAAATAGCAGCCGACGTTTCGAGCGTTAGCCCTTCCTCGTTAGCCCTTCGAGCGTGAGCCCTTCGTCTTTGGCTCCGACGAAGGGCTAACGCTCGAAACGTCAGCTTTTATAATCGTAACGGTGGCCAATTTACCATTTCAACTTTGTTGATATATTCAAATTATTTCGTTACCGCCACCGACGCAGCCCAAAACAGTTTCTTTAGAAACTATCAGCCTTTATTCAAAAAACCTATGACCGAGCTATGTATGAATCGCAGTGGAATCAAACCTGTTTTCTTTCCTTTCCAGGCCGTGGTTTGCAACTCATCAGATCCAAACTCAGAGTGTTTCAAAAACTGTGACGTACTTCCCAGGAACCGCCATCGCAGAGCCCTTCCATATAGTGCACCTGTGCACACCACGTTACTCAGCCATGGCCCTATTTGGTTAACGAACCCTGAACAATTTAAAGGTATTGAATTAAGAATGATATTTTCAATAATGATAATTAATCTGGTAGATTGTAATAGCAAACTCGTTTATGAATTAATGAAGAGGTGGAAAATTATAAAAAGAAGAATACTAGATACTTTAATTTTTTCTATCTTTTCTCTTTATAGTAGGAAAAAAAGTGACAAATCTTTTATAATTATTTATGGTTGTAATTTGGAGGTTTTGTTTGTTTGTTTGTAAGTTTTTTTGGCGAAAAATCAAGACCAAAGTTATAACCAAGGTCAATAACCAAAGTCAATAATCAAGGTCAATAATCAACGTCAATAATCAAGGTCAATCACGACATAGGGAAATCTTACAAAGAGGTAAAGAGGCATCAAATACACGTAATCGGCTTCGAGCGAGGGAGACTGGTACGACTGTCTCAGTTTTGCCTTTGATTGGTCCAAAACGCTAATACAAGCTTTCACAGCCAATCACGAGAAGCAGAAGAGTAAAACCCATATCATTCTAATTTCTTTAGAAAATTGAATTTTTATGTCCTAAAATAACCGTGGTATTGATTTCTCCTCCATCCTCAGATTCTCCAGGCCAGCACCCCTTGTTGGGTGTTTCTTTCGTCCTCGGAATGTTTGCTCTGCTGTGTGTTGTGGTGTTTGCAGTTGTCCGTCAAAAAATGATCACAGTCAAGAGAAGCGGATCACCAGCAGATGTATGACAGAAAACAAGAGAGAATTATTCTATTATTTTTATAAATTATCGCGTTAAAGAAGGTGCTAACGGCAATTAATAATCGCGCGGAGACAAGGGGTTCCTGTTTTTCCAAGTTAAAAACTTATCTCTAGTAGTGGCCGAATTAAAGCGAAATAAAACAAGAACAACATTTTTCGTAAACTGTGAAAGATATTTTAGCTCACCACACTAGGAAATACTGCCTTTTTGAGACATTTTAAAATCTGGAAGCGTCTTGTAGATGATCTTAATACTGTACTACTAAACCTTAGCTTGGTAATTTTAAACTGAAATGTCACTCCGCAGAAATAAGGACGTCTCTAAGGTTATTTGAGGATTGACTAGTCAGACTTAATTAATATCAGGCGAGTAAAAAACCCTTATCCCAATATCAGCTTGGTTGAAAAATAAGACAAAGGCAGTAGAAATTATGAGGTTTAGTGGGAATTCGAAATCTCCCTCAAGTAGGTGACAAACTTGTGGCAAGACTTACTCACGCTATTGTAATGTTATGAACATGTCAAAGCGAATTTTTTTGTGAGTACTTGTTCATTTACAAGTCTTCCAGATAAGCTGTGGTTGATTAAGAAAAATCTCTGAACCTTTTTCTTATCAACCCGAGTTTTTGTTAGCTTTATTCAAGGGAAACCCCTATTGCTGCGATGTTTTATATATTTAACGACAAGTAACAAGAGAGGTGCACGAGATATTGTTGGCGTTCACTTTCAAAGATGAACTTAAAAATAAAAAAGACTGCTGAACCCTTTGTAGGTCTGTGACCTATTAATCTTATTTATTTAATTATTTTGGAGTGAAATGACATTGTTAGGGTTTTTTTTTTTTTTTTTTTCTTACTTTTTACCCCATGGTATGGCATTAGTTATGTTACGAGGTTCAGGAATGTGACCTAAAATTCACTCACTCAGTCACTCCATTTTGATTGATTTATGCATTGAACTCTGATTTGACGCATTATCCCTTTCCTCGCCTACAAGGTTTGGTTCTGTCCAAAGAGTCGAGCTGTTGTCTTCTGTACAAATATCTGAGGGGGTGGCAAAGGTGGAAATTTCTATTTAAGTAATTGGAGAGATCAGCTCTATCCAAATTGGCGTTTTTCCGGGCGGACGACACGGTGCTCTTTCCTTCTTTTGCTCTATTCTTGGCCAATGAACACCTCTTTAGATCTCACAAATGGAAAGGAGAATGTACGTGAGAATACTCAACTGGATAGAAAAGGGATTCAAAGTTTTAAAAGTGACATAGACGGTTGTTCGTACGACAGCTGGGCAGATTAAAACACAGCAGCACCTTGTTTCTTCGAAATGCCCTTAGAAATGAAAAACAGATCCGATAATCACTGACTAGTAGCAGAAGCCATATTTTACTCGGGCGCTTATTTTAAATTTCGGCTAAAGGAGAGGAGGGCGCTGATTAAAAAAAACAAAAAAACAATCTGTACTAATACGCGGTTGAAGCTTAAAAAGTTGTAAATAAAGTGGTAATAAAAACAGTTTCCCCCGTTTCCCTACTATTTCAAAAAGTGAGGGAGGAGGGGGGACCGCCTATTCGAAGGGGGCGCTCTTTTGATATGATGACCTCGGGGGTGGGCGTTTATTCAAGGAAATATGGTAACTTATGGACTAATCATTATTTCTCTCCTGGAGGACCGGAGGATTACAGAGGGATCATATGGTTTTCAGGGGGAACGCAGGAGCACCAGTCGTCGCCAAAAGAGTATAAGGGAAAATTTACTGCCAACGGGGGAGGGATCCTAAATTATAATATTACAGAGCTTAAGAGGATCAGGCAAATTTTATTGTAACGCAACTAGAATCCTCCACCATACCTCTCGGTATGTCGTTTTGTCGTGTGCTGTAATGACGATTACTGAGAATGCAACGGTTTTGTATATGTTTTTCTTCATTATTGTACGCTGGTGCTCAGCCGAAACAAAATAAACCTAATGGTTCAATATATTACTGTCAGTTGTGTAGTGAGCTGAAATTCGATGTCGATTATGTTGAACACGCCCATTGAAGTCGGAAAACTCATTTGAATTACAAAGAATTTCAAAATTAATATTCAAATTTGCGCTCAGTCTTGCGCGTGGAAAGAGCTAACAAATTCTGAGCGTCTCTTTTCGCTTCTAGGGAGTCAAAAACCATTTAATTTCGACCCTATTACCTTGGATATTATCTGTTCTGTCCGAGTCAGCCAGTGTTTCTTATGCCGGATCAAGTGGTTCAGATACCATGTCGAGGGATTCACGCTATTCACTTTGTGACGACGTTTCCCTCGATAAATAACTTATAGAAATATACATTTGGATAGAAATACAGTCCTCTCTCTCGTTGTGGCCCTTGCAAAATAAACTTACAAACGGAGTTACATTGTAGGAAGTAAGAGCGTAATACACATAGCACAGCTAGTGTAGGACAAATATATCCTCTGGATGTGACAGCTGCCATGACAGTTCTTCTTGAACGTGACTTAGTGGCAACGCTTGAAATTCATACTTTATAGTTGGTGTACTTACCTAATTACTTCT